TAGTGGTAGATATAATGGTCCTCTGAATTAAATTTGCCCATTCCAGTCCATTTTAGTTCATTGATTCCTAAAATGTTGATGTTCTTGCCAACTCTTGCAATCTCCTGCTTGACCACTTCCAATTTACCTTGATTCATGGACCTAACATTCCAGCTTTCTATGCAATATTATTCTTTTCAGTATCAGAATTTACTTCCGTCACCAGTCACATCCACGATTGGGCATTGTTTTCGCTTTGGCTCAGCCTCTTCATTCTTTCTGGAGCTATTTTTTTCACCCTTCTCCAGTAGCATATTGGACACTTACCGACCTAGAGAGTTCATCTTTCAGGGTCGTATCTTTTTGCCTTTTTTTTTTTTTAACTATTCATGGGATTCTTAAGGCAAGAATACTGAAGTGGTTTGCCATTCCCTTCGACAGTGAACCACGTTTTGTCAGAACTCTCCACCATGACCCATCCATCATACGTGGCCCTACATGGCATGCTCATAGTCTAACTGAGTTAGATAGGGTTGTGATCCAAGTGATCAGTTTGGTTAATTTTCTATAATTTTGGTTTTCATTCTGTCTGCCCTCTGATGGATGAGGATAAGAGACTTGTGGAAGCTTCCTGATTGGAGTGATTGGCTGTGAGGGGATCTGGGTCTTGCTCTGACATGCTTAGTAAATCTGTAATCTAATTTTCTAATGATGGGTACAGCTGTGTTCCCTCCCCGTAGTTGGCTTGAGACCAAGCTATGGTAGGGGTAATGGCAACCTCCTTCCAAATGGTTTATGCCAGGACTGTTGTATTCAGTGATACTGAGCTATGGTAGGGGTAATTGCAACCTCCTTCCAAATGGTTTATGCCAGGACTGTTGTATTCAGTGTCCCTGACCCCACAATAGCCATGTTGACCAGTGCCTCCCCTGGGGGCTCTTGGACACTCACAGTGTCTGCCTCAGTCTCCTGTGAGGGTCACTGCTCCATTCTCCTGGTTCCTAGTGTGCACAAGGTTTTGTTTGTGCCCTCTAAGAGTCTCTTTCACCAGTCCCATGGAAGTTCTGTAATTAAGTCCCACTGGCCTTCAAGGTCAAATTCCCTGAGGGTTCTCAGTCCCTTTGCTGGATCCCCGTGTTGGAAAATCTGCTGTGGGCCTTAGAACTTTCATAACAGTGTGAGGACTTCTCTGGTATAATTGATCTTCAGTCTTTGGGTTGTCTACTTGGTGGCTCTATGATGGGGCTCACACATTGTGCTTCCCCAGTCTGCTGAAGCCCCTGTCCTTACAGCAGGCCACTGCTGACACTTGCATCTGCAGGAGACACTCAAACACTCAAAGGCAGGTCTGGCCCAGACCTATAACCATGTTTTAAAAATGTGACCAGTTTGCTGTTTGCACTAACTTGAATGCAAGAATCTCATTTTGAGGTGTTATCTTCCTCTGTCCCACTCTTTCTTAAGGACTGTTAAGGGTTAATGTTATCTCTAAGGTGAAAAGAGCCTTGGGAGGAGCAGCCTACACCTGGCGTATAAAGGCAAAGTCTGCAGGAAGAAGAGTTTCAGGGTGAAGAGTATCAAGAGAGGTTTGTAGTTTGAGTTATTGGTCTCAAGGAGAGAAAAAAAAAGTGAATCCTCATCATTTGATCCTGGTGTTCAGAGCCAGAGGCAGGGACCTTGGAAAAGTGAAGAAGAGAAAAAGAAAGAAAAACGTCCAAATAAAATAGGTATGTATGGGGGCAAGAGGAGGGAGAAACTTTGATAAAATGGGGTTGGGTGTATGATCACATTGATTTGCTGTTGTTGTTTAGTCTCTAAGTCGTGTCCAACTCTTTTGCAACCCCATGGACTCTAGCCCACCAGGCTCCTCTGTTCATGTGATTTCCCAGGTGAGAATACTGGAGTGGGTTGCCATTTCCTTCTCCAGGGGAATCTTTCCAACCCAAGGATCAAATCTACCTCTACTTCATTAGCAGGTGGACTCTTTATTACTGAGCCACCAGGGAAGCCCAATCACATGGATACTGGCCTCAAACACAAAAATTTGCTATTCCTAGTGAAAAATGGAATCAGTTCAGTTCAGTCACTCAGTCGTGCCTGACTCTTTGCGGCCCCATGGACTGCAGCACACCAGGCCTCCCTGTCCATCACCAACTCCTGGAGTTTATTCAAACTCATGCCAATTGAGTGGGTTATGCCATCTAACCATCTCATCCTCTGTCATCCCCTTCTCCTCCTGCCTTCATTCTTTTCCAGCATCAGAGTCTTTTCCCATGAGTCAGTTCTTTGCATCAGGTGGCCAAAGTATTGGAGTTTCAGTTTCAGCATCAGTCCTTCCAATGAATAATCAGGACTGATTTCCTTTAGGATGGATTGGTTTGATCATGCTGTCCAAGGGACTCTCAAGAGTCTTCTCCAACACCACAGTTCAGAAGCATAAATTCTTTGGCTCTCAACTTTTTTCGTAGTCTAATTCTCACATCCATACCTGACTACTAGAAAAACCATAGCTTTGACTAGATGGACCTTCGTTGGCAAAGTAATGTCTCTGCTTTTTAATATGCTGTCTTAATTGGTCATAACTTTTCTTCCAAGGAGCAAGCGTCTTAATTTCATGGCTGCAATCACCATATGTAGTGATTTTGGAGCCCCCCAAAATAAAGTCTGCCACTGTTTCCATTGCTTCCCCATCTACTTGCCATGAAGTCATGGGACCAGATGCCATGATGTTAGTTTTCTGATTGTTGAGTTTTAAGCCAAGTTTTTCACTCTCCTCTTTCACTTTCATCAATAGGCTCTTTAATTCTTCACTTTCTGCCATACGGGTGGTGTCATCTGCATATCTGAGGTTATTGATATTTCTCCCAGCAATCTTGATTTCAGTTTGTGCTTCTTCTAGCCTAGCATTTCTCATGATGTACTCTGCATATTAGTTAAATAAGCTGGGTGACAATATACAGCTTTCACATACTCCTTTCCCGATTTGGAACCAGTCTGTTGTTCCATGCACAGTTCTAACTGTTGCTTCCTGACCTGCATACAGATTTCTCAAGAGGCAGGTCAGGTGGTCTGGTATTCCCATCTCTTTCAAAATTTCCCACAGTTTATTGTGATCCACAGAGTCAAAAGCTTTGGCATAGTCAATATGCAGAAATAGATGTTTTTCTGGAACTCTCTTGCTTTTTCGATGATCCAGAGGATGTTGGCAATTTGATCTCTGGTTCCTCTGCCTTTTCTAACACCAGCTTGAACATCTGGAAGTTCATGGTTCATGCATTGCTGAAGCCTGACTTGGAGAATTTTGAGCATTACTTTACTAGCGTGTGAGATGAGTGCAATTGTGTGGTAGTCTGAGCATTCTTTGCCATTGCCTTTCTTAGGGATTGGAATGAAAACTGACCTTTTCCAGTCCTGTGCCACTGCTGAGTTTTCCAAATGTGCTGGCATATTGAGTGCAGCACTTTCACAGCATCATCTTTCAGGATTTTAAATAGCTCAACTGGAATCCCATCACCTCCACTAGCTTTGTTTGTAGTGATGCTTCCTAAGGTCCACTTGACTTTGCATTCCAGGATGTCTGGCTCTAGGGGAGTGATCACACCATCGTGATTATCTGGGTTGTGAAGATCTTTTTTGTATAGTTCTGTGTATTCTTGCCACATCTTCTTAATTTATCTTCTGCATCTGTTAGGTCCATACTATATATGTCCTTTGTTGTGCCTATCGTTGCATGAAATATTCCCTTGGTATCTCTACTTTTCTTCAAGAGATCTCTAGTCTTTCCCATTGTACTGTTTTCCTCTATTTCTTTGCATTGATCACTAAGGAAGTCTTTCTTTTCTTTGAACTGATCACTGAGGAAGGAGATATGAAATACTTTCTGCCATATCAATAAACAAAGGATATCACAGTTGTCAGCAATTGCAGCCACCATGGAAGGTGAGCTAGTGAGCCCTGAGTGTATTCAGGATGGAAATAGTGCCTGTCATCTAGTAGTCATCAAACTGCAGCCATTCCCTATGGTGAGTCCTGAGGAAGCTCAGGATCTGAAAACAGACTACTAGCCCCAGATAGTTGAGGGGCATATCAAAGGAATAATTTCAGTAAGCCTAGTCTCTTGCATCTTTCTTTACATAGAAAAGCACTAAATTTCTCAACTTGGGATATCTGGTTTTCTTTCAGTTACAAAACATTTTTGACATTCAGACTACCTACACTTTGTTGCAAAACTTCTATATAACCTGTCCCCCAACTCCCTGCCTCCTCTAAGCAGTTCTCTCAGGGTCACTTGAGCTGCTGTCTCCCCGACTTGAAGTCCTAAAAATTCTCACCAAATAAAGCATAACTCTCAACTTCTAGGTTGTGAATGGTTTCCAAGGAGATTACAAATAAATATGTATGCACTTGTATTTGTGTGCTATGTTCTGACTAGCTAGGTGATGAGGTGCTCTTTAAGAAGAGTGAAGACCAGAGTTACTCAAAGGTGCTCCCTTAAAAAGAGTGAAGACCCAAGGTTATTCCGACCTCCCACCTGGATCTGAGCCAGACCCTGGAGCAAGATCAGGGAGGAGATCCTGGAAGAATGCTGCAGGTAGATTTTTCCCAGTGGAAACGGTGGCTGGAGAGGAAGCCCCAGACTCCTCCAGCCAGTGCTCTTCATTCTCAGACCTACCTCACTGGGAGCCAGACTGCTCAACCCAGCTTGCCTGAGCTGCAGTGCCGCCCTCCGCCGCACGGAGGCAGCATGACCTACAGCGCGGTGGCAGCGGCGATCCCCACGCCCCTCTTGGCGGCGGCGGCGGCGGAGGCCGTGCGGCGGAGGCCGGCCCGCGGAGCCCGGCCCGCGGAGCCCGGCCCGCGGAGCCCTCGCTGATTGGCCGCGGTGCGGCCGCTGCCTTCTTGGCCGAAGTGGCGCACTCTGCCGGGGCAACTGGCTCTGGCTGCGGCTGCCAGGTTGCTACGCACAGGGTCTTCCTTCTTCCCCTCGCCCGCGGTTGGCGCTGAGAGGCGGCGTCGGCGGGATGGAGAAAAGTAGGATGAACGTGCCCAAGGGGCCGGACACGCTGTGCTTTGACAAGGACGAGTTCATGAAGGTGCGGCCGGGGGGGCTGCGCTCCCCGAGCAGAGGCGGGTGGCCTGTCTTCCTTTTCCTCGGGGGCCTCCTCCAGCTGCTGGGCCGCGCACGCCCCGGATCAGCCCCCGGCGGGACCTCGCTGCCTTCGCAGTGAGTCTTTTGGCCTCAGGTGGGCCTGGGGAAGCCTGCTCTGAGACGGCACTTCTGTGAAATGGTGCATAGTGAGGAAAAGGCCTGAAGTTGTGGGCAAGTGGTTTTGAGCTAGGTGTAAAAGCTCCGGTTATTACCCGAGCCCGTTCTCATGCAGTGCAGTCGGAATGCCAGATCCTGGGCAGACAGAAGTTTGTCGATCGCCGCTTTAAACCTAGAAGCTCAGTATGAATGCATTGACCAAATCTCTGGACCCACGTCTCTACCTAGGGATTAGGTGGGTGGAAAAGGCACTCAATAGAAAGTTTTTCCTTAACGTTCGCCTAAAGTTTCTGAATGGGATATTTAAAAGATTAGAATCTTATTACTGATTTTGTTGCAGTACAACAAAGCAAACCATTTTGCTTCTCTAAAGTTAGTCTACTTTTTATAAGGTGAACTTGAGGTTGGTCTGAAGGTAAATGTAGGCCGTCAGCTTACATGATGAGTTGAAATATGATGGATATTAAAGGTTTATCCGGCACAGCCTTGAAAGTGTCCAAGATTTGAATCAGAGCTGGGAGGAACTTTGCGTATTCTTTTGGGAGTGATGCTCTGGAACTGTACATACACCATCAAGAAATACAGTTATGGTTTATTTATAAGGTTTGGGGTTTTTGATACCACTTAGTGGCTGCTTTCAGTGTTAAAAAGTTAAATGTTTTGGCTCAGTAGACACTTAAATTTTTGCGCAACTGAATTTAAGTCTTACTTTTTTTGTTTGTTTTTTTGATGACTTCAAGTCTTAGTATGTTTTTTGCTTTTTATCTTCATTAGTTTATCCTTTTGATGCTTGCATTCAGTTCACAGTCTCTGGTTTTAAACAGTATTTACATCTGTTCTTTTTTATAGCTGAGTAGTGTGTACTACATGGACTTGAGCTTGGGCAAACTTGGGGAGATGGTGAGGGCCAGGGAAGCCGGTTGTGCTGCAGTCCACGGGGTCCCAAAGAGTCAGACGTGACTTGGGGACTGAACAACACCACATCTTCTTTATCCATTCCTGTGAACTTTTAGATTGTTTCCATGTCTTGGCCATTGCAAACAGTGCTGCAGTGAATACTAGGGTGCGTGTGTCTTTTCAAATGATGATTTTTTTCAGATACATGCCCAGGAGTGGGGTTGCTGAATGATATGGTAGTTCTATATTTAGTTTTTTGTTGTTGTTGTTGTTTTCCATTTATTTTTATTAGTTGGAGGCTAATTACTTTACAGTATTGTAGTGGTTTTTGCCATACATTGACATGAATCAGCCATGGATTTACATGTATTCTCCATCCTGATCCCCCCTCCTAGATCCCTCCTTATATTTAGTTTTTAAACGAACTTCCATATTGTTCATCAAAAAGAGCAAAATAATGCCATTTGCAGCTACATGAATGGACCTGGAGATTATCATACTAAGTGAAGTAAGTCAGACAGAGAAAGACAAATATGTCATTTACATGTGGACTCTAATAAAAATGATACGTGCATGCGTGTATGCTCAGTCTTAAGCAACTCTTTGAAACCTCATGGACTGTAGCCTGCGAGGCTCCTCTGGCCATGGGCTTCTCCAGGAAAGAATCCTGGAGTAGTTTGCCGTTTCCTTATCCAGGGGATATTCTTAACCCAGGGGTGAAACTCACATCTCCCATGTTTCTTTGCATTGGCGGGTAGGTTGTTTACCACAGAGCCACCTGGGAAGCCTGAAAAGTCATAACAGATGAACTGATTTACAAAACAGACTCACAGATCTCAAAATTAAACGTATGGTTCAGTTGCTTAGCCATGTCTGACTCTTTGCAACGCCGTGGACTGCAGCATGCCAGGCCTCCCTGTCCCATCGCCAACTCCCAGAATTTACTCAAACTCATGTCCATTGAGTTGGTGATGCCATCCAACCATCTCATCCTTTGTCGTCCCCTTCTCCTCCCGCCTCCAATCTTTCCCAGCATCAGGGCGTTTTCCAATGAGTTAGTTCTTTGCATCAGGTGGTCAAAGTATTGGAGTTTCAGTTTCAGCATCAGTCCTTCCAGTGAATATTCAGGACCAGTCTCCTTTAGGATGGACTGGTTGGATCTCCTTGCAGTTCAAGGGACTCTCTAGAGTCTTTTCCAACACCACAGTTCAAAAGCATCAATTCTTCGGTGCTCAGCTTTACTTATGGTCCAACTCTCACATCCGTACATGACTACTGGAGAAACCATAGCCTTGACTAGCCGGACCTGTATGGTTACTGAAGGGGAAGCATGGGGAGAGGTGATAAGTTAGGAGACTGGGATTAGCATAGACACACTGCCATATGTAAAACAGATCAGCAGAAGTTCACTGTGCAGCACAGGGAGCTCTGCTCAGCACTTCAGTGATCCACGTGGGAGAGGAGCCCAGAGCAGAGCGGGTCCACGCGTGCACACAGACGAGCTACTCTGCAGCACGCCTGGGACTGGCATAGCAGTGTATGTCAGCTGTAGTAAAAAAGTTAAATGATGCAGTTTAAGAAAAAAGTATTTACATCCAGATCTTCTCCAGTGTGGCCATTCATTTTTATCATGCAGGCCATCTAGACCCAGGAATAATGTACTCTTGTCCTTGTACAGTGATGTTTCTGCTAAATCTCTGTGATGAAGGGCATCATTTGAAAGGGAGTACCACGTGAGCTTGCCGATCCAGAAACACTTTGTTCCATCCGCTGGCTGAGAACTGTCCTGGAGCAAGGGTAGGAAAAAAGAGCATGATGAAGTGAGGTGTGCTGAAAGAAGCCAAGGCACAAGCAGAGATGAGGGGCTTTGTTCTGTTCAAGAATCTCAGAATACAGAGAGCTTAGCTTGACCAACCTTGCCTTCTTCAAGGCTTCCTTCAGGCTCAACACCAGCATTCTTTCTGACTTGCTAGCCCCACCATGTTTCTTGCTCTGAACTGATAGAAAGCCTTTGGGAAGAGAGGCTTCACAAAGTAGAAACCTCAAAATAAGTTCTAAAGTAGAACTTAATGAAGGGGAGAGCAAACTGGGGAGGTGGCTGAAATGGCAGCAGTTTCATATTCTTTCATGCCTCCTAAGCCTCTGAATGTGCTCTGTAATTTATAGTGCTAATAAATGTGACCACTTCACATGTAAAAGCAAAATACATAGGACAGCCACCCTGTGTTAAATGTTGCTTTTCTAAGTGAGACTTGGAGATAAAGGTTACTTGCAATTTATGTTTCCTTCAGAGAGACATTTTAAAAGTGGTCACATGGCAGAAATGATAGGTAGAGAGTTTGCCTTTGGGGTTATATTTCTTAAGTCTGTCTGATTCGATGCATATTGTAATTTGTGCCTGTGAGAAAGTTAGAGAATGTCCAATTTGCATTAGGAGAGTGAAGGTTACTCAAAAAATCCAGTCATTGGCAAATTTGTTCCCAATCAAAGGAAACTATGTCACACACGTGATGAGGCCCTATTAGGACAATGGTGGCAGTCATTCATTTAATAAACAGGCACTCATTGATCACCTTGGAGGAGGAAATGGCGACCCACTCCAGTATTCTTGCTTGCAGAATCCCATGGACTGAGAAGCCTGGTGGGCTACAGTCCATGGGGTTGCAGAGAGTTGGACATGACTTGAGTGTCTATCACTTCACTTCACTGATCACCTGCTTCGTGTCCACCAGCAGTCTAGACTGGATAGTATAAGGTAGATAAGATTTAGGCTTTTGAGTATGGTTACAGAAAGACCACAGTGTGTGCTGAGAAACTGGACTTAGTCCAGAGAGGCTGGGAGGATGACCAGAATTGAAACTGGAAAAGTAGAAAGACAGCTGGGTGGGACTGCAAGTTGTTCTCATGTACTGCACTCAGGGGTTTGCACTTGATGAGTTACAGTCAGGTGGAAAGCAGGAAATGACGTAATCATGTCTGTTGCAATGAACCCGTGTTAGAGGATGCTGTGCCACTGGTTACTTCAAGTTAATATGGGGTTCTGTTTCAAGGGGAAATTGTGTTGCATTTGAACTGATGAGCTAATATTTTGATTTGGGCCATTCTTGCACATGTATTTCAGTCCTAAGTCAATGTCATAGTGGTATCTCAGACTTTTAGGAAGTTATTTAATAAATGCTTAAGAAACAACCAACTACCTTTCTGAACATAGAGAAAAAATGCTTCAGTGGTCCTTGTAAGATCTAATGAGAAATACAGAGCAGAGGACAGATTTGTGAAGGATGTAGAGGATCAGAAGACAAGAGTGGCAGATGGTAGTAGAGGTACCATCACTTGGGGACCTCTGTCACTTGGTAGTAGAGGTGGTGATGACATCATATCATTAGTTTCGTCAGCTTAAAAAATACAAAAGTCCTTAGCGAGGGTTGATGGTCAACTAATACATGAAATAGGACATGAGATACTAGTAGTATGGGAGAGAAGAGGCTGCTAACAAAGATAACTTAGACCAATTCACCTAGGTGTGCTGTTGAAATCTGTCCTTCTATCTCAGTATATGACTTCTATTTTATAGAACAAATAGTGCCATCAGATGGGAACTTCTTCATCTTGACTGATGACAGCTCCATTCTTGTATACGTACCCATCCCCTTTCTCCACCTCGCCTGTTTGGAAAAGGGGTCTTCCTTCCTGAGGTTGGTCCTTCCTACCCCACTCCTCCCCGTGCTTGGAGCCCGGACCCCTGGTACTCTCCCCACCCTCTGATTCCCCTCTCCTCTGACCTCATCCCCAGTGGCTTTCCAACATGCTCCTGCTTTGGTCTCTTCCTCTTGACCCTCCTGCCTCTAGTCATTTTCATATCATTCTCTTCCACATTCCAGCCAAACTCTTGAGTTGTTTTTACTTTCTTATATGCTGATTGGCTATTTGTATATCTTCTTTGGAGAAATGTCTATTCAGATCCTTTGCTAATTTTTTACTTGGTTTATTTGTCTTTTAACTGTTGAGTTGTAAGAGTTTTTATACTCTGGATGTTAGACCCTTGTCAGATACATGATTTGCAAATATTTTCTCCCACTCACTGGGTTGTCTTCTCACTTTGTAAATAGTGTGTTTTAACACACAAGTTTTCATTTTGATTGAGTTCAGTTTATCTGTTATCTTGATGCTTTTTGTGTCAATGACTGCCTAATTCAAGGGCACACAGCTTTTCACCTGTTTTCTTCTTAGAGTTTGATTGTTTTAGCTCTTCTATTTGTCTTTTAATCTATCTTGAGTTAAATTTCTGTGTATAGTATGAGGTTGGTATCTAAATTCATTCTCTTCCATGTGGATATTTTCTGGATAATAATATCAATTGCTGGATGTTTAGTAAATCTACAGTGTAAAGTGAAACCCTCTGGGAAGTGGAATGTGGCAGTTATTCCATGCCACTGTGAGTCTGAAGTCGTTTGCTGTCAGAGCAAAAGCTCCGATATTCACAGGTGTTCTCAGTCATTTTCTCTTGTGTGGGGCAACATTTGTTTATCCAAGAACAAATATATAAATGGCAAACTGAGCACTAATATTGCCTAATAGCATTTGTTAGAGCTCAAGTTATATGATTTAGAATGCCATCATGAAGTTCAGCTCTGAACTTCATCCACTTGAAGTTCATACTTTCAAAGTAACAAGCCGAGTGCTCTGCATTGTCATACGGCTGGTCAGTACCAAGGCCAAGATGCCAGGCTGAGTCCTGCCCCAACATTCTTTCTGTGATTGTTGTGTAACTGTGAGTCTAAGGTGTTATCTTAGGTAGACTCAAGAAGTAAAAGAAACAGATGGTTTTTCACTAGGTGGCTGTGAAATTATAGTTTGGTAAGAAATCTCTTATTTGACACTATTATAGCAGGTGTTTGGATGATTAATTAATAAAGTCAGTTTTTATAATACTCTTATGGAATGGTGCCTGTTGTCCTTAACATATGTGTAAATTTGTTCTACATTGATGTGGCTCGAAACTCTTTTCTCTGAAAATCTGTCTGTGAATTCGATTTTGTTGTTGTTGTTGTTGTTGTTGTACTTTAAGTTGAATGAGAACCCCAAGGCATTTGCAGAGAATCTGGTATAGAATCCTTCAAGATTTGTATGATCCTCCTTCCCACAGCACTACCTGGTCATGGTCATCTCATACATTTAATATAATTCAGCAAAATCTGTCTTACCAGTTTCTCAGTATCAGGTCTTTGCAAAGCATCTGCCTTAGTTTTCATGATAACAGTTATCACTGTGTACTTATATTTTGTTGGTTTATACAATGTTTAATAAAATTATGTAGTTTTGGTGATAGGTATAAGTGGCCTTAACAAGTTTGGGAATCATCGTACCTGATACTTGATAACTAAACAGCTCAGTTAGTACCAAAGTCATAAGTAGACAGTAATTTGCTGTCTGTATGCCTGTGTGCCTACCAGGGGCATCAGCATGTTATAAAGGAAACAGGGCATAATGATTCTGCGAACAATGCTTGGAAGTTGGTTTTGAAAGATTTTGAACATCTGTTCAGTTGAATACTCAACATGCATATAAAATGTCAATACAAATTAATATGTATTATGAAAAGACATTGAAGCTATATGTAAAAGGAGGAAAATAGCTTAGAAAAGGTTTATTAAGATTCTGTGTATGTGTATGTGTTTGTGCATGTGTGTGTGAACATAGAAAAAGGTCAAGGGTTTCATTCAAGGAGGATCCTACAACACTTACCTCCTCCCATGGACACATGAAATCAATAGCTACTCATGAAATAGTTTCCTCCTCTGAGCAACTCCTGCACATCTGGCAAACAACCCACATCAAAGTGGATAGGAGAGGCTGAGACGTGGTCTCACCATCCAGCCCACTCCCAGCATGGTGACCCACAATTGGAAGGAAGCTACCATCCCCAGCTGCTCCCTGAGAAGTGAAGGGTCTGAACCCTAAATTTGGCACCCCTCCTTTAAAGACTTGCACCTGGGAGATGAGCCCCCAAACATCTCCCTTTGAAAGTCAGTGGAACTGGCATCTGCAAGACCCACCAGGCTCATGATGTGAGAAACAGCTTTTGAAGGGCAGCATGAACTTGGTCACCCTCCTGGGGCCTGGCACAGGGACAGAGGCTGAAAAGGGCCCAGACTTTCTGTGAAAGAGGCTTGTTTATCTTAAGGCATCAGCCTGAGGGGACGGCCTCTCACTTAACACTTTCTGGGGGCTTGCAAAGAAGGCTGGCAGGAGCCATCTTTGCCCTCTCTGCCTCATTCCAGCTGGACAGTATCTCCTAGAAAGGAACTTGGGTACTTGTCTGGTGCCCTGATGTTTGCAGTTGCTGCCCAGAGACAACTCTAGGTCACCTGGCTTTGGTGGCCAGTGAGGCTTACACCTGTAGGTCCCCAGTGTTCACTGCAGTATTATTTGCAATAGTCAAGACATGGAAGCAGGCTTAGTATCCATCGATAGATGAATAGATAAAGAAACCATGATATACACACACCACACACACACACAGGAATATTATTCAGCCATGAAAAGGAACTAAACCTAGACTCCCCTTGTGGTACTGAAAAGGAAAAGCTAAAATTTGACATAACCTCCTGCTCGTTCTGCCTGTGTAACTCAGCTTGCTCCTTGCAAAGTCTGGATTGGGTAGGTCACGCAGTCTCAGAAAGTGGGGATTTAAGATATGAGAAACTGGCGCTTATCTCACCACCCTTGTCCTCCTCTTTGCAATTCCCCAGCCCCTGTAAACTTGCTTAATCATGCCTATCCATGTAAAGGTCAGGCATTCCCCTCCCCATCTTAACTGCTGTTCCCGTGCACACGAAACTGCTTCGTTTAAACTAGTCTATTAGCAGCTAGTGTTGCCCACTATAGTCTGTCTATGAAAACTGTGTAACCCCTCTGTTTGGGGTTCAGAGCTTAGAGTGTTAACTGCTCTGGGCCCGCTGGCGTAGTAAACGTGAGTTCTCCAACTGTCCCAGTGTGGTGCTTGGTTTCTCGAGTACTGGTTTCTACAACAGTACAGTGGCTAAGAATCTGCTTGCCAATTCAGAGGACACAGATTTGATCCCTGGTCCGGGCAGATTCAACATGCCACAGAACAGATAAGCCTCTGGGCCACAGCTACTGTGCCTGTGCTCTAGAGTCCGTTGCCCACAACAAGAGAAACCACCACATTGAGAAGTCTGCAAACTGCAACACAGAGTAACCCCTGCTCGCCACAGCTAGAGAAAGCCTGCATGCAGCACTGAAGATGCAGCACAACCAAGAATAGTCAATAAAAATATTTTCAAAAAAGAAAGAAATCTTGCCATTTGTGGCAACGTAGATGGACCTTGAGGGCATTAATGCTACAGGACATAAGTTAGAGAAAGATGATCACGATCTCACTTTTATGTGAAATCTATAAAACAAAACAAAAATTAACTCAAAGGTACTGAGAACAGATTGGTGGTTGCCAGAGCAGAGGGTGGACAAAATGGGCAAAGGGGTCAAATGGTACATTCTAGTTAATCAGTTAAATAAGTCATGGGGATGTGATGTATAGCATGGTGACTATAGTTAATAATACTGTACTGTATATTTGAAAATTTAAGAGAGTAAATCTTAAAATTTATCATAGCAAGAAAAGGAAATTTGTAACTGTGTGATGGATGTTACCTCATCCATCCTCACAGTGAAAATATTTGGGAAAAAAAATTCCAGAAAGTTTCAAAAGACAAAATTTGAATTTTCTGTGACAAATAAATAGTTGGCAACTCTTTACATAGTATTTTCAATGATGTATACAGCATTTACATTTTATTAGGTATTATGTAATCTAGAGATGATTTAAAGTGTATGTAAATACTGTGCCATTTTATTTTAGAGACTAAGACATACCTAGATTTTGGTGTCTTTGGGGGTCCTAAAAACAGGCCCCCATGGATGCTGAGGGATGGCTTTATTTATAGGTTGAAATTGTCACAGTGAATATTTGTTGCTTTTAAAACTTAAGGGAAAAGGAACTACTTCTGTTCTGAGAAGAGCCTATTGAACGTGTGTAGTTAAAAACAAATGAAATCCCTTTTGGGACTTAGGCAGCAGGAGAGAATGCTCTTGGTCAGGGGCCTCCCTCTTGGCACCTTGATAGTGTGCAAACACCTTTCTGTCCTGTGTGTTTTAAAGTGCTTTATCCTGACAGCAGTTAACCTTTCAAATGAATAGAATGGTGTTTCTCTGTTGTTCTCTCTCCTTTTATTTGTATATGTAAAATGTGATATTGTTGCAATAATTCTTTTTTTCTGGTTTTATTTTCAGGAAGACTTTGATGTCGATCACTTTGTGTCTGACTGTCAGAAGCTAGTGCAGCTGGAAGCACTTAGAGATGACCTGGAGCTCTACTATAAGCTGCTTCAAACAGCCATGGTTGAGCTCATCAACAAGGACTACGCAGACTTTGTCAACCTGTCAACAAACCTGGTAAACTTGAAATCCACAGTTCCTACCTGTCAGTGTATTTACACATGTACTGCACACTTTTTTTCTCACTCATGTTTATTCTTAACAGCTCTGAGTCTTTTTAGAAACCTTTTAGTTATTTTTTTCCCCAGAAACTTGAAGGGATTGCTAATCTTGATTAATAAAGGAACTAAACTTTCTTGATACACATGTTTTGTGTTTAGTTTGAGTATGTTTTGAATGACTTATTAAGAAGTGGTGAAAAGTAAAGGATAGCAATACCAAGAGTGTTTATTTTTGTTAGTTGCTAATTGATTCCCATGAAATCTCACCAGTTTAGACTAATTTCCAAGAGCAGATATCAACTCTTCTTAAGGAAATGTTTCATTGACTTTCAGGTACGTGTGCTAGCCAGAGATAGGTTGAGAAAACATTGGCCAATATTGATCATTAAGAAGACTATTTTTATACATTTTATAAAAATGTAGGAATTGTTTATAAGAAGCATATCAATTACTTGGAAAAGTTTAGAAACACTTGAGTTTTCATACTTGTGAAAGTCTTGTTCATATTTTGTGTTTAAGTCTGTTTGTTGAAAGAGGTATGGAAAATAGCCATCTCTATGGGAATTTCAAGAAGCATTGAGAATAATGAGCCATATTTGCTTTTAGGAAATACACCACTAAGATAAATGTTTCAGTAGGATTAGAGACCCTGAAAATTTTATTTCCATCCTATTTAATTTGGATTTTTCTGAAGGGTTGTAATAATGCTTAGGAGAGATATAGTTCATCAGACTTTCATATCAGCTGGTTGAATATCATAAACAACAGAGATAGCTATTTTTCCTATTAGTTTTTTAAGTCATTTAAAATTTCATCCCAAAGACAAATTGTGCATAGGAATTTTTGATTTATTATGACTTTCCTTATTTTATAGTGCTTATATATCAACAGGTTTTTCACATTCAAGGAGCAATATTTATGGCCACATAACATTTTTGTTATGTAGTTACTAGCAGCATATAACTGTATAGAAAGAATAACGTAAGTCTCATACTGCTTTGATCATTAAGCACAGGCTTCACTGTTAACCCTGGCCCTGATGTGTCTGTGCCAACATACTTTTGCCTTTAGGTCGGTATGGACAAGGCCCTCAATCAGCTTTCTGCACCTTTGGGACAGTTAGGAGAAGAGGTTCTGGTACGTCCCCAAATGACAGTCAACAATCTACCATAAAACATATTACACTTGTTTGCCTTCTCCAAGAATTCTTTTTTATTAATCTGTTAGACTGTTGTGATTGTTGTGGTTGGTGTTTTTTAATGTTACATGATTACAGTGTAATACTTGCAAAATGTAAATGATTTGCATGTGATATTACAACCTAAGAAACATATTTGGTTTGAAGACGGCAAATTCTCTAGAGTAGACACTTTTAAATGTCGGGGAGGAGGAGAAGGGTATTTCAAAACTTAAATTTGTTAATATCACCTCACCCATGTATAAGTGGTCTCCAGCTTAGAACTGGCTTGCTTATATTTTAAAATTTGTCATTTGCCCTTTTGCTCCCTCCCTCTCCCCCACGCGATGGGGCAATCGTCTCTTCGAGTCTTTGGATCAACGTGTCCTCATGCCTCAAAGATGGATTTTCCTGCTATTATCTAAATAAATAGAGCTATAACACTGAGCTGTAACACTGATTTATTTAAGAGCTATGATACGGTCCGTTCGAAACCTGAGAGCTATAACACGGTCTGTCCTCTGAGAGCTGTGACCCGCCAAGGGGCTTTAATGTCCGTCACTCCAAATTTTTGTTGTGACGAGACAAAGAACCGAGGAGCATACACTCGCGTGACATCTATGGTGCCGTGACTCAGATAAAACCTGGCTAAAACAACCTCCACGCGAAAGAGGCGAAGCACAGCAGGAGCCCAACTCAGCGAAGCTCCCGCGGTAGAAGCAGAACGCGAGGAAAACCCAGCGCAGGGGAAGGCCCATCGTGCTGGAAACCGGGGCAGCGAAAACCAAACTCAGCAGAAAGCCCACGCGGCCCAGCCTCAGATTCCAGCAGACCTCCGGTTAAGATGGGAAATAACCAATCCACTTCCCGGCAGACACCCTTGAGATGCATCCTTGATAACTAGACGACCCTGGACATACTAGGGTCTTAAAGAAAGCCCAGAGCTTGCCACAAATGCCATCAACTGGGACATTGGGCGGCACTCGGCCCTGGGGACCCAAGAGCCTCAAGGTCAAGTGCCAAGCCTTCCCTCACGATGGTTCAAGAGGACTGAAGCAGCCCGCTCCAGCCAGTCCGCCTGTCACAGATAACCATCACGGGGCTGGAGCCAAGGGTGCAACTGGATGTGGCAGAAACCTTGGACCACTGGACAAAACCCCGAGAGGGATTGTCAGAAGATCCTCTGACCAATCCTGAGGAAATCTGGTACACTGACGGAAGCAGCTTTGTCTTAGATGGAAAAAGAAGAGCCGGATATGCAGTAGTCTCCAATTTTGAGATCATAGAGGCTAAGCCTCTGCCCGCCAGCGGTCAAGGTGCCAGGACATGACTCCTGGATTCACTACTCACTAGTCAAGCCATGAAAGAAAAGAGAAGAGGACACTCAATACACCTGTCAAGCTACAACATGCAGCGCCAGTTCAACAAAGATAAAACTACAGCCAACCACAGAAAACATCAGTCACCCTTAGATGGACACCACTATAAGGACTCTGAGGCTTAAAACTAGCAAGAGGGGGAGGCCCAATGCCCCTCGCCATCCCAGTTCAGCGGGAAGTAGCCAGAGAGACCTCGATGCCCCTATTCCCAAAGAATTGGGCCTCCCATCTCTTGAGGGGGGAATGTTAGGTAGTTAGAATAGGGAAGAAGAGTCCAAAATGGCGGTGGCTAAAAGACCTTGAAGGGAAAGCCCAAGAAAATAGAACAAAGGAAGGTCCGAGGACCGGAGTGAGAACCTCAGGTAAAACAAACAACGCTCCTGGCCGGCCCAATTTACATAAGACAGGCCCAGGGACAGAGAAACATAAAAAGAGGAGGCAAAGCCCTCTTCCCCCCCTTTTGCTCCCTCCCTCTCCCCCGCGCGATGGGGCGATCTTCTCTTCCTGTCTCTGGATTGACGTGCCCTCACACCTCAAAGATGGATTTTCCTGCTATTATCTAAATAAATAGAGCTGTAACACTGAAAATAAATAAATAAATAAATAAAATAAAATTTGTCATTTTACAAGTATTTTCCCAGACAATATTTTATATGTAGTTAGATTCGTGGACCAGTTTATACCAGCCATTTAACCCCCAATGTAACTGAAGGGTAATATAAATGTTGTGTAATACGTAGTTTCTCTGAGAAAATCTCTCCCTTGGGAATGGAACTGTCTGCCCCTAAGCCATGAGAACAGGGACTTCATCCAGGTGAACAGTGGAGAGGGAGTTTTGGTATCGCCTCCAACAGAAAACTGCCGCCCTGTCCTCCCCTCACCCTCTGGGCTGTGCTGGGCACCTCGCCCTCCATCCGCCCTTCGCTGTGAAGCACCGCACCGTCACTTCCTGTGTGTGTCAGCACGGGACCACACCAGACCACGTGGCCTTATGCTCCTTGCCTCGAGACAGTACCTGGCACATGCAGGGTTCTCACTAGATAATGTAGTAAAGAGGTTCTGCTTGGATAAAGCTGTAGGAAATGCAGGACGATGGGAATGTCAGGGCTGAGAAGTCACGAAGAGGGTAGGCAAGAAAAAATTCGTAAAAGAGGTTAAGCTGTGAGCTGTGCCTTGAACTAGCAGATTGTTTGAAAGTCCGTGTCTTGTTTGAATTTCACAAAGCTTATTAAAGTGCCTTGTGTTGGAATGGAAGAGGAGTTTCTGGTCTGCTGCTGGATTCCGCACCAGCCTCTGCGGCCGTCCTGCCTCCTTTTCAGGGCTCCTCTTCTCCCAACCTGTTGCCATGACATTTCCCGAACCCCGCCCTTTGTTAACCCTCCACGCTTCTCTCTGAACTCTCCACTCTGCTCTCCTGTGCTTGAACTTCCTCGACTGCCCTCATGCCTTCAGGCTCTTGTCCTACACTGCCAGCTGCCAGCGCCACCTACCGTCCCTTACTCTGCAGCTGTCTTTATCACCACCCTTCTCCTCATCAACCAGGACCTCACCTGCCTTTTTAATCTCCACTCAAGATGCTTCTCTGAGATTCTAAGATCACTGAGGGATAAGACTGTTTCTATCTAATTCATCATTGTATCCTCATTGGCTGACTGTTAGTAGACATTTCATGTTTATTGAATGAATTAATTCACTTTTCTATAAAATTTTTGTGATTTGTCTGGTGGTGGTGCTTTAGCCGCTAAGTCATGTCTGACTCTTGCATCCCCATGGACTGTAGCCTGCCAGGCTGCCCTGTCCATGGGATTCTCCAGGCAAGAGTACTGGAGTGGGTTGCCATGTCTAGTTTATTCTCATCGTTTCTTTTACCTTTGCTTTGGCCTGACTCTTCATATTTTGTTTATTAGCTTCTGGACATGTTTCTCCACCTATGAGCTGCCTTTTCCTGGCCATTCTTTCCCTTACTCCTTGATTCGTAATATCCTTAGAACAACATGGCATCATGAAGTATCAGTGCTTAAGGATTGTTTAGTTCCTGATAGAATCTAGTCTAAACGTCTCCTAAATCTCCCCCCCTCCCCCATTTATTTCTACTTCTCTCCAAAATGAAGCCTGCCGTGCACCCGGGTGCACCCTCCCACCCTGAGTGCGCCCTGTCAGTCGCACCTTTCCACCCTCTGTCTTCCAGTGACTGCTCTCCTCCACCGCCGGCCTCCACGGGCTCTCCAAGTCAGACTCGAGTTCATCCCCTGTGCCAGATTTTCCTAGTGTTTGATTCAGATGGTTCTTTCTGTACTCTGACCACGTATGATGGTGATTGTATATGTATTGGGTTGGCCAGCAAGTTCCACTGGTTTTTAAGTAAAAATAAAAGACAGTTTTCATTTTCACCAAGAACTTTATTGAACAGTGTATTCACAGTTTTGTTCCACTACCTTCTGCTGTTTTTTTCAGGCAGCTTCATAATTCCATCTTCCCAAAACTTTTTATATTTTTGAGCAAAGAACTGTTGCAAGTGTCTTTTATGGTCTTCCAGGAAATTGAAATTTTCCCCTTAAGAGAATTTCGTAAAGACCAAAATAAGTGAAAATCTGAAGTTGCAATGTCTGGTGACTGTGGTGGATGGATCAGAACTTCCCAGCCAAGCTATAACAGTTTTTGCCTGGTCATCAAAAAAACGTGGTCTTGAGTTATTCTGATGCAAGATTATGCGTTTTCTCTTGACTAATTCCAGGTGCTTTTCGTCTAGTGCTGCATTCAGTTTGTTTAATTGGGAGCAAGTACTTGTTAGAATTAATCATTTGGTTTTCCAGAAGGAACTTATAGAGAATCCCCTTCCAATCCCACCGTATACACAGCATCACTTGTGGATGAAGAGCAGCCTTACGTATGATTGTGGTGCTTCATTTTGCTTGCCCCACGAGCTCTTCCATTCCGCATAATTGCACAGTACGCACAGAGGATGAGATGGTTGGATAGCATCATCAACTCGATGGACATGAGTTTGAGCAAACTCTGGGAGATAGTGAAGGACAGGGAAGCCTGGCATGCTGCAGTCCACGGGGACAACTGAGCAACTGAACAACAACAGCAATCCACTTTTCTCTCTCCTGTCACAATTTGTTTAAAAATTAAACATTTTTGTTACGTTTAAGGAGAGAATTATCTGTGGAAATATGGTCAAGAAGGTTCTTTTTTCGCTTCACTTATTTGGAACCCAAACATCAAAATGATTCACATAGCCAAGCTGGTGCAAATGGTGTTCAACAGTCAATTTGGATATTTTGAGTATGTTGGCCATGTCCTGCATGGTATAACATTGGAAGGGATTGTTCTCAGTTAAGGTCTCAGTTTGATTGCTATCAACTTCAACTGCTCTTTTCAACCGTGGCAAAATCTATCCAGTGAGAAGTCTCCAGCACAGAACTTTGCAAGCCCTTTTGACACTTCAGTCAGTCACAGCACCTTCTCCATACACTGCACAAATCTTACTTTGCATTTCAGTTGTATTCTTACCTTTCTTGAAATAATAAAGGATAATATGCAGAAAATGTTGCTTTTTTTCTCCTTTAATATTAAAATGACTACACAAAAATTCAGTAGTCTTGATTTTTTTTAATGCATACTGATATGACAGTTGTCACAATACAGTCTTACAAAATTATTTCTAATGAAATTAAAGACAGCCAAGCACTACTAGAGCCATCTTATGGTAAAAAAGTTAACTGACTTTTTTGCCAACCCAATATTATTATTCTTTTGGCCATTAATCCTCTGTGATCTTGACTTTTTAAGTCATTTTGCCCTCGAAACATGAATACCCTCAACAGCAGTTGTATTTGATATTATGTATTTTTGTCAATATCTACATAATACTGGCCCAAAGATAATTAAGTTACATGGAATTTAATGTACAGGTTTTGTAATGCCACCAAACAATTTCTGCAGTACGTTTTCTTTATTCTTTTACACAGTTTTCAGTCATCTGTCAGTGAAGGAATCTGGGCAGTAGGTGAACGAATGTCTAAATAAGAGGACATTAGGGGAAAAAAGGTATCCTTGAGTGTCATACTGTTAAACACGGGCTTATGGTAGCACCTTGGAGCTAACGGCACTTTCCTGGATCCGGTGTGATAGACTCCTCTTGGTACCTCTGCAGAGAGGAGTGGGGGATCTTCCTTTCTCTTTAGGCAGCAGCATTCAGCCAGGCTCCTGAGGGGTTCAGTCAGAGCTGAAGCCCAGGTCTTCTCACTCCTTGGCTGATTAAAGTCCTGTTGATAAGAAGGGTGTGGTAAAGTAACTAAGTGAAGAAAAAGACAAAGATATTGCATATTCTTCTTGTGCTTTATTAATGATAGCATTAAAAATTTTAAATGTAGATTTCTTATGCTACATGCCAGCTCAAAGCCTCATGTCTTCTTAGCTTCTCAGCATATGAAACTTTCTTTTCCTCACAAAACTGTTTGTATGCTTATAATGTCATGTTAACTATTTGAAATAAAGCAGAGTTTTAGAGGTACCCAAATGGCCACAAAATTAACATTCCTCAATTTTTCCAGAACAAGACACAGGAATAACTGGTATCAGTGAAACATTTTACAGTTTAACAGGCATAAAACTAATTTCTCAGCACCCTTGCAAAGAAGGTATTCAAATTTTAGTGATTCGGGAGCAAGTAGGCCTTCTAAGGCCAGCTCTTCCAGTGTTCTGCTGCAGGTGGAAAAACTAGTGTGTTGCTCTCTCATTCTGCCACATTACTTCTTTTGTTTCCACTTCTTAACTGTACCTCTGCATGCACTACTTTTAATTTTTAGCAGTCTCATGTTTTGATTTTATTTTCTGACTTTAATGGATATAATATTACATTATCATATAATATTATATATCCATTATTGTATATATTGTAGTAATGTAATATATAACATATATATATATCCATTATTATTGGATATAATGGGATTAGAATTTGAGACAGTTATCAGCTTCTGTCCAGAGATTTCAAGAATGTAGTGCCTTTCTAGGAAAGGTTGTCAGCCTTGTGAGAGCAGAGACTCTTTGCCTGTTGTGTTCACTCGTGTCCTCCCTGCCTGGATCAGTGTCTGGTGCACAGCAGGTGCTCAGTAACTACTCACATATTTTATTTTGTCTTTTTTAATTGATTTTTATTGGAGTCCAGTTGCTTTACAGCGCTTTAGTCTCTGCTGTACAGCTCAGTGAATCCGTCACACACACACATCCCCTCGTGTTTAGGTTCCTTCCCATTCAGGTTACCACTGAGCACTGGATAGAATTCCCGGGGCTATACTACTGTATAGTTCTGGGAACTGTTTGTTTCATGAGTACTTTATGTCTTTCTGTGCTTTTAAGGGTGGGTTTTTTTTTAATGCTCAACTTCTTTGATAAGGTTGTGTAATAATGGCTTTAATGAACTGATGCTTAAGCATATAATTGTGTCATATACATGTCAATAGGATAAAGATAATCAGAAGCTACAGTTATAACATGAAAAAGGGTCATAAGAGAATAAATGTAATACCTGTAGAGAGGTTCATTTAAGATAGGAAAAGAAAGGAATAATAGTGTGGGAAATGAGGAAACAAAAAGTCTAGTTTTCTCTTTTTTTAACTATAAACTTGCAGTAGAATGTTGAAAATGTGCTTCTTCTTGACACCTAAAATTAAGATTTGCATTCTTGGGAATTCAGTTTTATGTAGAAGTGTTCAAAATATAGAATGCCCTACATACTCTAAGTTGACTTTTTGCTTTGTGTGTCCCTGAATTTAGAATGGGGAAATAAGATGATTAAGATGAAACATTGTGATAACTTTGTGTTTTGCTTAATTATTATTTTATAGATATGTGTGTTGTCGCTAAACAGGTTATTCCATCAGTTGAGAAAATTGAAAAAATCTTAAATTCTCAACATTCTAAAGAAACATCTGCATTAGAAGCAAGCAGGTAAGTAAGTATTTTCTTTACTAAATATTACATAAATTAATACTTCACATCTAGCCTAATTTTTTTTTATTTTTTGGTTAAAATTCATTTCTGAAAAAGAAGGAAAGCCAAGTCTATGGTTCACTGTTTTTGAGTGTAGCTTGTGGGAAGTGGAGGGTGTGAGATGGTAAAGTTTATAATACATCCTTATAAAGGCTTTATGGTTATGGGCCACAGTTCCAATACATTACTTCACAGGGAATCAGAGGAGTATGCTTTTATTGGAAGAATTTTAGTCTTTGGAATTGCCTTAGAGAAGCACTGGCAAAATTTTGTTGATCTTCAAGATATGAAATAGCTTTCTTCTTTCCTAAATTCATTTAGACCAGAGTAATGCCCAGAGTATTGCCATTTATGTATCTTACCCTAGCATTGCATCATTAAGAAACAGGATAGGCACATTTAGTTAACTTTTGTCAACAAGAAAAAAAAAATTTGTGAAATTAGAAAAAGATGACCATTTTCTTTGTTACATACTGCAATTGTCTTCTTATCTTTCTATTCTGAATTTTAAATCAGCCAGGTAGGTGAGTGACTCAGAAAATGAGTAGCTCATACCAGCACCATGGGAAGCACCATGGTGCCATGGACAGATTTGTGCTGTATATTCCACTGGGCAGCCTGAGCCATGGAACTCAACTCCTGGTGTCATTGACAGTGGAAGGCTAACGGGAACTCCTCTGGCAGGGTTGTCTGACACTGAGGTGCCATCAGCCCATACCTGGCATGTAGTAGGCCCTCAGTTCAGTTGAGTTGCTCAGTCATGTTCAACTGTTTGTGACCCCATTTGGTGGGTCATCCCTTCTGACCCATCCAGGGGAGCTGTTTGTCTCAAACTGTTCCAAGTCTCTTGCCCTCAGCTGCCTTGGCAGCTCCTGCCAGCTTATCCTCACTCGACATCCACCATATCTGCCTTCCTGTTTTCTTTCCATTTTTGTCCATCCCTACTTTTCCTTTGATAGAGATGCATCACAATGTCTTTTTCTATAATACTGTTCCTTTGTGGTATTCCATCTTTAATGTAATAGATATTATGCTGTTTCTTGCTCAGAATCACCTTCGAGGACTTTTTAAAAATTCAGATCAGCAACTTTGAGTTGTAGAGGAGGGAATACCAGGGCAATGTAAATAAATGGGTAGAGCTAGAGAGAGGGAAGGGAAGTTAACAATGAAGAAGGCCCTGAATGAGAGAGGCTTTGGGAGGAGATGTAAACACCCGCACTGGCCTGGGCCAGCGCTCGCTTCTCGGCTGGACCCTGTGGTCGGGGCCTGGCAGTGTCAGGGGCTTATGCTTAACTTTTCTAGTTTTCCACTGTCCTAGAACATGCTGTAAAAGCTCATGGCACAAAGGATGCTATAGCTTCTACCTTATAACAAGGGGGCTATGGAAAAGCACAAAGAAAGCATCAGGATTGCTGATCATGTGATATATTCTTAGAAATTAAAAACTTTTACGAATTAACTTTTTAATTGTCTCCACTAGCCCACTTTTGACTGGACAGATGTTGGAGAGAATTGCCACAGAAATTAATCAGTTACAGTTTCATGCTGTTCAAAGCAAAGGCTTGCCTCTTTTGGACAAAATAAGACCAGTAACTGTTGTTTTAGATTTTTCACACTTTAGTGTTTAGGAATTTGCTAAATAATTTTGATTTTACCTGGTACAGGCAGACCTTGTTTTATTGCCCTTAGATTTATTGTGTTTCACAGATATTGCACTTTTTTTTAATTGAAGGTTTATTGCAGCACTGCATCAAGCAGGTCTATCACCATGCTAGTACCCTTTTAACAGCACTTGCTCACTTCAAGTGCTGTTATCTCTGTATCTCATTCTGGTAGTTTCCACAGTGTTTCAAACCTCCACCGGCAAAATGATGATAGCTTACTGAAGGTTCACATGATGGTTGCATTTTTTAGCAATAAAGCATGTTTTAATTAAAGTAATTAAGATCTATATCTTGTTTGTTTTACACATAATGCTTTTCTAACTCAATATACTGTATGTAGTACAGTATAAACATACACTTTATATCTGCTAAGAATCCAAGAAACCCCCATAACTGGCTTTATTGTGCTAGTAGTCAATTTATTGTGGTGGCCTAGAACCACACCTGCAGTATTGCCAAGGTATGCCTTTATTGTTCTGACAGTTGCTGACCTGCAGGATTTTGAAACTAGCTTTGAATTTTCTCTTTCAGTTTTTGTGTTTTAGGCCCCTGCCTCCTAAGTGTCACACATTATAGATTTTGTGTAAAGACACAGGCATATTCTCTGAGTTATAAGGGTAAAATTAATTCTAAATTTCATGTGACTTGACACACTATATGATTTAGTCAGAATTAATTTATCCAAAACTCTTCACTGGACTTTAGAATCATGATGTTTGTCAGATTTACTCTATAGCTTAAAAGAACCTCATTCTGAAGTGATATCTAAATCCTCCTTTGATATAGCAAAGATTAACTTACAAAGAGATGTGAGGAGGAGGAGAGATTCATTTTTCCTCTCCAGAAAATGTTACTATTTAATTTTACATATCTTCTGTTGGAATAAGAAATGTGTTATGTGTGTGTTTGGATCTTTAGAAATGATTACAGCTGGAGCTTTTTAACCTGTCTTTCTTGCAGTGTATAGCTCGTATTACAGCCATGTTACAACAGTCACTGGAAGGTCTCCTGTTAGAAGGTTTCAGACTTCCAGTGTCGATATTATTCGGCACTGCCTACAGACTTAGGCCACAATTGACAAGACACGAGATGCAGAGGCGTCAGTTGGTCAAGTCCTCGTGAAACCATACGTAGATGAGGTTTGTGTACTGTTGAATAAGGCCTTCATTCAGCAGATGTTCATAGAGCATCTGCTCTGTCTTGGATGCTTTACTGGGTGTAAGGGGTAGTTTAGAGGCCTTTCTGTAAAGATTGTAGATTCTCAGTTACTGTAGTACCATCAGTTGGAAGAAAAGGTTGGTCCCTGGTGGTGACAACCAGCATGCAGGAGTCAGGCACCTTTTCAGTGTTTTTTAGTGATGCTGTAGCCCAGGGATCATGTTAACTTAGTGGGAGGAGGGTCTTGCCTAGGGAGAAGGAATGTATCATAACATTTTTAGGTCAGTTTTATGATATGTAAATTATTTGCCATTAAATTCTTAAAATGAATTTTTAACTATTGGTCTAGTGGGTAAAATGGAACAAGCAAGCAGATACCAAAACTGCAGTGTAAGTTCCTGGTGAGGGAGCCTGCTGAAACCCTGACCATGGAAAGTCTGTGCTGAAGGTTGTCTTCACAGAGATGTGGCCTAAGTCTTGAATACTGAGGAGTCTCTTAGCCAGGAAGGTGGGAGGGAGGAAATAGTCACTGATGCAGGACTTTCGCAGGCAAATTAGCAGCATAATACCCTAAGTCCAGAACTTGACTATCCAGTGTCCTTCATCTCCAAGGATGCAGTTACACTTTGGAAAGTAAGCATATTCTGCCTTTGAGCAGCCAGAATGTAGACTGAACCATATGAAGTTGCCAATACCCAACGTTTTCTGATGCACAGAAACGGCAGCTTCATCTGGTTCAAACTGATGAAAGTCACAAGCCCATCTTCAGTGTTTGCAGACTCTCTCCAGTCCTCTGTCAGTGTAGGTGCTCTTTCTGTCCAGTAAGCACAAAGCCCTGTTCACCGTGACTTTGGAATGAAAGCCTCCCATTTATAAATGAGGGAAATGCAATCCCATTGATAAAAATGAAATGTAAGGATTAACTTCAGTAATCCTTTCAGCTTTTATTAGAGTTACTAAAAATAAATGATCTGTCAGTTTCCTCTCTTCCTATCCTGTTATATTTCTTACCTAACTTGATAAGAATGAAAAAGACAAATTACCTACATTATTCCTGTCTCAGTAAGTGAAAATCGTTACTAACTTATGCCTTTGTTTTTCATTGAACTGAACCTAATGTGCTAAATGAGAGAAACACTTGATGTTTCAGTGGCATATTAAATAAACCAAGGCCACATTTTAATTTTTTTTAATTCATATGCTTGTCATTAACCTCGACTCTCAACCTTAACACAAAAGATAAAATAATAAAGTATATATTTCCATCTTTCTCTGTCTCACGCCTTCCCCTGATCTAAATTATGGTAGAAGAAAAGGCCAAGGTCAGTACAGGGAGGGGCTATTGTTATGGGAAATTGTCATTTTATTTTGTTTTCAGTCTCGGGAGGGGAGGAGGCAAATGTGCTTGGCTTTCCAGCTTCAGGCCAGTCTCTATAACCCAGCCTGTGTCTTCCCTGGGTCAGAGCTGGGCTTCCAAATCCTGAAACTAGATCTGAGTATAGCTGTTATTATTAGAAAACATGTTAGCTGGGGAGGAGGGGGCATGAGGAAGCATACTTTTAAGGTTTTCTCTATTTTTCCTGTAGTGTGTAATTCATACCTCTCTTTGAGATGCTTTTTTAAAATGCTATTCTTTTAATAGGTGATTCTAGAGCAGATTGTTGATAGTCATCTGAGTGATCTCCAGCTCACGTATGATAAACTCTTGGAGTTCGTTCCCCATCACTGCCGCCTTCTTCGAGAGGTCACAGGAGGAGCCATCTCAAGGTAGTTTAAGCAGCTGTACTTAGAACTTGCACCTGCTGATTATTGCTGCCTCGTTTGGGTCGGGTTCATATGCGCTCCCCTGGTGAATTGTTAGCATGGCGCTATGAGGTGGGTGTAGGTCATTGCCTCAGAAGGAAACTGTAATGAGTAGGGCAGAGGTAAAGGGTACATCTTTGTGAATTCACAACCCATATTTTCCCCTTTTGTGTACTTTTTCCTCAATTACATGTGAAATAAAAGTTGGTTTCCTTCCATTATTCTGATGTTGTAATCTGTTTATGAATATGAATTCTGTGTAATTCAACAAGTTTTATATTAATTGTGGTTAAAGTCATCTTCAGTTTTCCCTCCTCTTGCCTGATTTCCATA